CAGCTGTAGATGTTGTTAAATCAGACTTAGAAAGGTGCACTGGGTGGCTGTTTTTTATATCTCTCTTGCCATCACTTTTTGTAATGTAATCTTTTTCTTTTTTAATGTAATCTTTTTCTGTTTGTAATGTAATCTTGTGTATTTCACTTCTGTGGATAAACACATAATGAATATGTTGTAGACACGTGGTGAAAACAAGGTATGAACATAGTAGGAAAATGCAAAATGCTGCACAACTCCACATGGTAGCAGGAGAAACTTTTCTTTGGTGGGTCAAAGTCCCATGTTCCTGTAACAGAGACCAACAGAAGCTGGATCATAGCCTGTAGTTATTTAAGATAAAAATGAAACTTTCAGTAAGTCTGTCCACAACTTAAGATGTAAATTGTTTTGAAAGGTCAAGTAACATCTGCATGCATGCCCGTATTTATCAGTTACCCCCATAAATGTATTCTTATTGCCCAAAAGAGTAATATATTGTGCATTTCACATTGACTGTGTTTTTCTATTTTCTTTTTTTTAAATCCAGTTGGCCAAGCAATACGGAAACATTTTCAGTCTTCGTTTGGAACGAAACATCGTTGTTGTGAACAGTTTTAAACTTGTGAAAGAAGCTCTAGTTCAACACGGGGAAAACTTTGCAGATCGTCCAGAACAGCCAGTGTCTGAAGAGACTAAGAAAAATAGCGGTATTTAAAAAAATAATAATTAGCAAAAAATGTTGGAACTGTGTATGCCATGCTTTTGTTCTCAACTAAAATTCGGGTTGCTTAGCCTTTAATCTGAAAGTAAAGGATAACGGCTGGTTGCATATCACAGGGCCCAAATGCTACATTACTCACATTTCCAGTGTTGGGGGTATAAATCTCACCTCTGTAGTTAAAGACGCAGATAGTCCAGCATTTCTTGTGATAATGCTAGTCACCCATTGTGATGATCTTAAGCACCTCTAAAACAAGCATTATCTATCTATTGTAGTAAACCTCACTTTATCGCTGTATCAGTAGACTCCCATAAACCGAGCTATCTGTATTTCCATTTTACACCACAAGATGGGGACCAGTTATACTTGTTGCCACTGTTGTAGCTGTTTGATATTCTTCTCATTAGTTTGCCACAATGTACATTGTACAACATTAGATATGTAATGTTTTCATTTGTGTTGAATCATGGAACCATCATTTATGAGCATATGTATTCCCACATGGGCAGATTTTTTTCTGGTTCTTCAAAGTGAGAAAATGTTTGTTTTAGGTTTGGTTTTCTCCAATGGCTACCTGTGGAAACAACAAAGAAGGTTTGCTCTCTCAACCCTGAAGCACTTTGGACTGGGCAAAAAGAACCTTGAGCCCTCCATTCAGGTGGAGAGCACATTCCTGAATGAGGTCATAGCCAATACACAAGGTACAAACCTTCCCAAACATGGATGTTTGTCCCATGGTGATCTAGTCATGTAAGATGTAGCCCTATGTATAACCTATATGAATATTCCAGTAACACTTTACTTGACAGGGCACAAATAATATAGTATTATACTATTATTTATGCATTAATTAATCAATCACAAACTAAGTCAGTTATATACTGATCTCATGTTAATTCATCATTAATGAATCGTGACATGTTTTATCTGAAGAAGTTACAATACTTGTTACTATATTTAATTCTGTAATTCTCTGTGAACTTCTCAAGGAACTACTGAAGGAACAAGTCATGAATAACACAAGTTAAATACTGATCTATATTTG